TACTTAGAAGTTCTTATTGTAGATTTAGACGTAATTTTCATCGGTACATCATCAGAAAAAACAGATGCGCACTTGCTATAATTTGTCGTCACGTGAAGGAGTCATTCTTGGAAAATGGTAATAAAAAAAGGAAATTTGGCTAATCTTAATTTTCCCTATCCCTTATGACTCCAATATGGTAGAGGATAATTTGTTCTGCTAATTTTTCCCTGTCGTGTAAGGAGCTGAGAGAATGATGATGGAGACCAACCAATTAGCTAAGGAAAATGCTTATTGAGCTACTTGAATTCACTTACTAGGCATGAAATGCTGGTCATCCTACTAAATTTAAATAATTTTCTTGCCTTACGCTAAAGTAAGGATTCACAGAACTAAAGGCAGCTATATTTAGTGTCTTTGGATTGCGCTGCTCTTAACTCTTCATACATGAGTTAAAATTTCTCACGAACTTCAATGTCTCTATTGCCACTGTATTTACGTCTCATTCCCACTCAAAATAGTGGAAAGCATGCACTATTGAAAGCCAATAGTACCTCATACATTTTGTGGGGGCTTAATTGTATAGGCTAGAGACAAGTAGCCAAGCCGTTTGCTTGCATATCTGAATCTTAAAGGAAAGATGGGTGCTTCACAGCAAGATTCTTTAATCTTAAGAATGAATTTGCTTATAATTTATGTATATAGGTTGAATTTTAATTTTAAGGGCCGTGCTTTCTTATTTCTTGGAATGGCTGTCTATATTAGGGTCTCATTAGAAAATTTACAAATTTGCAAGGCACTTATTGCATTGAGTATCGACAGATAGAGTTCGAGCTAAAATTATCGACAGTCCCTAAAGCCTACGAAAAGTGCACTATGGAACTATTAAAAATTTTACTATCATTAGTGTTGTATTTCTGCCATTCTACGACTTGGTGATCATTAGTCAATTTAAGGTTTGATTTATAGAAGTGGATCGATCTCGTTATTGCAACTTGGTTTTGTTGTAAGGATGATTAAGTAGAACGCACCTAGTCCGAAATCCTCTATCATACTAGTTGTCATAATACCCAGCATCAGACAATGATCTTGGTACATTCTCAAACGTTTCGAAGACATGATCAGTGAGTGCTGCCATTCTCCGCACCAAGATACTAACTCGTCAAAGAAACAAGTGAAGTCAATCCTTTCACTTACGTTCTGACGAAAACGGTTAAATCATCACACCTACTTCCGTCCTGGTCCATCTATCTACTCTTTACCCTCTTATCCTACTGCCGCCCTATCACAACTTCTGACTTGTTTACATTCCACTCGCCAAAATGTGTGCCCTTTTGAGGCAAATCTAGTGTGGCCTCATCACACTTGCTATTCACCCCGACCCTCTCTCTTTCGATCGGCTAATCCGAATCAGGCCTCCAATCCAGGTCCCCTAAATGGTTCCGTCGATCCGTTCCTTATCTTTCTGGTTAACCCAATTCACTCGGCTCCAGTCCCAGTGTGCGTTTTACTCAAGGCGCTATTTCTCAAGGCCCTAGAAGTATGTACACTGGCGCCTCACCGAGCAAAGCGCCTAGGCTCTGATTCTCATGCTTGCAGATATTAGGCATTGCCTTCACGGGTCGCCGCCTTGATTAAACCCATGTAACCAGAACAAACTGTGGACGCATATCTCTGGTCGCATGCTGAATCTCAAATGGATTTCTAGTACATTTTGGCCATGACGTCGAATTTTTGTGACGGTTTGTTTCTCCATCTGCCTAGCTCCCTAGGGCCTTGAGAAATAGCGCCTTGAGTGAAACGCACACTGGGACTGGAGCCAAGTGAAATGGGTCAACCAGAAAGATAAGGAACGGATCAACGGAACCATTTAGGGGACCTAGATTGGAGGCCCGAGTCGGATTAACCGATCGAAATAGAGGGGGTCCGGGGCGAATAGCAGGTGCGATGAAGCAACATTAGATTTACCACAAAAGGGCAGAGAACTTTGGACTAGGTGCGTTCTACTATGTCGCCCTGATAACGAGACCAAGTTGCAATAACAAAGTCAATACACTTATATAAATTGAAAGGAGACTGCGGCAAAACCAGGGTTCACATCATCTTTGTCTTCATATCTTCGATTAATGTTTGATTATTCATGGTTTATACATATTATACTGTTAACTAGTTGAAGTAATTTTACATTATGTGACAACAAACGCTGTAAACAGTGGAATTCATGATTTCGGAGAACCACACTCGCAATAGATTGATAACGCTCAGAAGCTACAAATCCTAAATAATATGGGAATAGATAAACAAAATTAAATAGTTGGCTAAACTGAGGCCCTGTGGCATGGCCACTCACTTGCCACCTCCCGTAACCATGTTGAACCACTCCGGCAAGAAGCCAGTAGTCATGCTTCCGATGCCAAATCTCGGTATCTTTGCTTTCAGCCAAAGCACGCTGTTCGTTAAACCAGATAGTGTGCAGCTCTGTGAAACCACCATCAGCAACGTTGAACATGAATCTGTTGCTGAAACGAGGCACGTCATCAATTGGTCGTTTTTCGATTACGCAAGTCTGTAAATAAAAATTAAGATCAGATTATTAGACCATATGGTAATGTGGTGAACTGCCTATCATTGTAAAAACAATTGTAACAAACAAAAGATAGGCCTTTCTAAATATAGGAAAGCCGTATTGTAGTATTGGACAGGGCTTAAATGATTCCACAATGGTTGAACGGAAAATTGGTCAAGGGGATTGCCTTTACTTATCACTTTGTAGTTGTAACACAAACATCCAAATTCTACGGCAAAGATCTTCGTTCACTTCAAATTTAATGGGGAGTGGAAACTGAACCGGGGAGGACATCATCCGTTGGTCCCTAGTGTGCGTGAATGTGTCCTCGAGTGCATTTTCCGAGTGTGCCTGTAGCGAGAGATAACTGTACACATGCCTGACTAGGAAGGTTACAAGCAACGTTCACAAGCACAGCTAACTAAAACCTTAGGATTATATGAGTATCAACTTGAGAGACAAGAAAAGTATGGCAGACGTAATTGAGAGATGGAAAAGAAAAGTGGTTCATTTTCACACAAGCAGTTCCAAATAAAGCCAGTCATAGTAACCCACAAAATTAGGGAGAATAGGTGAGGCGTCTTTAAATACTCAAAAATGGCGTAATCGGGGATTGGGATCAAAGACATGTAGGCAGTCTGATTTTAGACCGCCAGAAAGTGATATTCACGTGTAGCATGAACTAATTGATAAGCGAGGTGAAAGGCAAGGCCTAAATCAATTAAACGAGGCCATGGCTAAGAAACCCTGCCAATGACATTTTAAACTGGTAGTGAAAGTGATTATGCTTCACTAAATCCACTTAAACGATAGAGTTTCAGTCGTTATTAGAGGAAGCAGGAACATAGAATGGTGTGGTTAAGTAAATGTGCGATATTAATTGGGATTGAAAGAAAGAGATGTAGCAATTGCGACTAGGATTTAAAAAATGGGCGAGGAATAATGTCATAACGGTTAAACAGAGAATTGTGTTAACTTTTACCCGTTGTAAATCTATGCTATGAATAGTGACTCTCATTAGAGAAACGTCTGAGTGTTCCAAGCCAACGACCCAATACTGGAAATCCTAATATATAATATAGAGGACGACGCAGGACTAGATACGCTTACAAGGACTCCGTGCCGCTCCGACCAAATTATGAAAAAGAGGTCAAACCAACACTATACAGATAAAATAGAGTGCGACAAAACAAAAGGCCACACTATCTTAGGTCTAAGTATCTATGGTTTAAATAGATTCTACCCATGAAAAATTATTCTTTGGGGCAACACTTATGTTAATACATGCGCAATTCAGCCACGAAAGGCTCCTAACTTTTATAAAAAATAGCAAATATACTTATACTCAGGCCGATAAGAACAATAAATATAAAAATGTGCTAGATAGCGTTGTCGTCTAATAGACTTATCTAGTTCTTAATAAGGTCTGTGTTGTGCATCTATGTAACAACGTTTTTTAATGGTCGGTGTCACTTTTAAGCATGATCATATTGCAATGTAGGGGTAAGGCAAGATGGTGCACAGTAAACGATGCTAAAACAAATCATGTTAATAGGAAAAATATATTAGTATTTGAAATTATTGCGCTAGGAAAGAGTAATGAGATGTATTCACACTATTTCGTGTAAGGTGATGAAGGACTGGTAGTAGAATTTTCCCACAATGATATGAGT